AATCGTCTCTCTCAGAGGGCAGATTCAGAGGGCAGACAGCCTATCACCCTATCGCTTTTCTATCCCCAGCACCTGGAACAGTGCCTGGCACTGAGTAAACACTCAGTAGAATGAAACAAATGAATAAGTGAGTGAATGAGTGAACTCATCAATCCACCTCCAGACATCAACATTCTTCATGGTGATAAGAGTTCTAGTGACATTTATTGAATAAGGGAATCCAAGACAAATATTCAGGTGGCCTTAAGGAGCCTGGTGACAGGAGTAGGAGGGTAAGCTCTGGATTTGGGGGAAGCACTCACCCCAACTAACAACCTCTATGCACCGTACCCCACCTGATCCAACTCAACACACATGCCCTCCATCACTACTACCTCAACAGTCTCCATTAACTGATGAATGGGTATATCCAACCAATGAAATATTCAACAATAAAAGTAATAAAGGACACCGCATGAAAATTCAGGGACTTCTGGCCAAGATTGAGGCATAGGTAGATATACTTTGCCTCCTCACACAACCAAAAGAAGGACAGCAACAAATTTAAAAACACAAAATAACCAGATGGTCAGAAAATCAAACTCTATGGAAGTCCAATAACCAAGGAGTTAAAGGAGAAACATTCATCCAGACCAGTAGAAGGGATGAGATAGGCAGCCAGGGTGGAGAGGACCCAGTGGCTAGCAGATCAGGTGGTCCCACATTAGCATGTGGATAAATCAAGAGGAATAACTGGGGAGCAAGACACTGCGCAACTCAGAGTTCCAGCATGGGGAAAATAAAGTCTCAAAACTTCTGACTGTAAAAACCTGCAATCGGTAGTTGCAGCAGCAGAAGAAACACTCAGCTTCTTAAGAGAGTTCATTGGAGAGACCCACAGGGTCCTAGAATGTACACAAACCCTCCGACCTGGAAATCAGCACCAGAAGGGTCCAATGTGCTTGTGGGAAGCAGGGGAAGTGACTGAAAGCAAGCCAAGAGCCAAGCAAGCAGCACTGTTCCATCTCAGACCCCTCCCCCACAAACAGTGCCACAACAAAGCAATGTGGGTTGCCTGGCCCCGATGAATACCTAAGGCTCCTCCCCTTCCTATGGTAACAGACTCACTGAGACAAAAAAATATGGCCCAAATGAAAGAACAGATCAGAGCTCCAAAAATAGAACTAAGTGATGAAGGCATAGCCAACCTATCAGATGCAGAGTTCAAAACACTGGTAATCAGGATGCTCACAGATATGGTTGAGTATAGTCACAAAATAGAGAAAAAAATGAAGGCTATGCAAAGTGAAATAAAGGAAAATGTACAAGAAACCAATGGTGACCAGAAGGAAACTAGGACTCAAATCAATGGTTTGGAGCAGAAGGGAGAAATAAACATTCAACCAGAACAGAATGAAGAAACAAGAATTCAAAAAATGAGGAGAGGCTTAGGACCCTCTGGGACAACTTTAAACATTCCAATATCTGAATCATAGGGGTGGCCAGAAGAAGAAGAGGAAGAGTAAGAAATCAGAAACTTACTTGAAAAAATAATGAAGGAGAACTTCCCTAATCTGGCAAAGAAAGAGACTTCCAAGAAGTTCAGGAAGCTCAGAAAGTCCCAAAGAAGTTTGACCCAAGGAAGCACACACCAAGGCACATCATAATTACATTACCCAAGATTAAAGATAAGGAGAGAATCTTAAAAGCAGCAAGAGAAAAAAAAGACACCTACAAAGGAGTTCGCATAAGACTATCAGCTAATTTCTCAAAGAAAACTTGCAGACAAGAAAGGGCTGGAAAAAAGTATTCAAAGTCATGAAAGGCAAGGACCTACATCCAAGATTGCTCTACCCAGCAAAGCTTTCATTTAGAATGGAAGGGCAGATAAGTGCTTCTCAGATAAGGTCAAGTTAAAGGAGTTCGTCATCAATAAGCCCTTTAACATTATGAAATGTTAAAGGAACTCATCTAAGAAAAAGAAGATAAAAAATATGAACGGTAAAATAACAAATAACAATCAACAACTGAACCTAAAAAAACAAAAACAAACTGAGCAAACAACTAGAACGGGAACAGAATCACAGAAATGGCGATCACATGGAGGGCTATCAGCACGGAGGGTGAGGGGGAAGAATGAAGGAAAAGGTACAGAGAATAAGAAGCATAAACGATAGGTACAAAATAGACAGGGGAAGGTTAAGAATAGCATGGGAAATGGAAAAGCCAAAGAATTTATATGTATGACCCATGGACATAAACCGAAGTCGGGGAATGCTGGTAGAAAGGAGTAAAGGGTGGAGGGAACAAAGGGGAGAAAACAATGGGAAAATTGTAATAGCATCATCAATAAAATATATTAAAAGCAAAGAGCCCTGGCTGGTGTGGCTCAGTGGATTGAGTGCCAACCTGAGAACCAAACTGTCATTGGTTCAATTCCCAGTCGGGGCACATGCCTGGATTGCGGGCCAGGTCTCCAGTGCAGGACACATGAGAGGCAACCACACAGTGCTATTTCTCTCCCTCTCTTTCTCCCTCCCTTCTCCTCACTCTATAAATAGATAAATAAGTAAAATCTTTTTAAATTTTCTTTTAGATTTTATTTATTTATCTTTAGAGGGGAAGGGAAGGAGAGAGGGAGAGAAATATCAATGTATGGTTACCTCTCACATGTCCCCTGATGGGAACTGGCCTGCAACCCAGGCATGTGCCCTGACTGGGAATCAAACTGTGATCCTTTGATTCGCAGGTCTGCGCTCAATCCACTGAGCTACACCAGCCAGGGCTTAACTTTTTTTTTTTCTAGAGAAAATTCAGATCTACTGGAAAGAATGAAGACCACCAAAAAATGCTAGATATATGGAAAAATATTTTTAAAGGGAATAAAGTATGGATGCATACTACAGAATGAACCTTGAAATTATTATGCTAAATGAAAGAAGCCGCACACAAAGGGCCCTATATCGTAAGACTCCATTTATATGAAGTGTCCAAAATAGGCAAATTCATAGAGACAGAAAGATTAGTGGTTTGCCTACCGCTGAGAAGGTTGAGGGGCATAGAGAGTGACTGCAAATGGATATGGATTTCTTTTGAGGTGAGGGAAATGTTCTAAAATTGATCGTGGTGGTGACAAGTCTGCGAATGTAGCAAACCCCATTTAATTGTATAATTCAAATAAGTGAATTATATGGTATTAAATTATACCTCAATAAATCTGTTTTAAAAAGTACCTCAACCTGCCCTGGCTGGTGTGGCTCAGTGGACTGAGTGCCAGCCTATGAACCGAGGGGTCGCCAGTTTGATTCCCAGTCAGGGCACATGCCTGGGATGTGGGCCAGGCCCCCAGTAGGGGATGTTTCTCTCCCTCTCTTTCTCCCTCCCTTCCTTTCTCTAACAATAAATAAATAAAATCTTCTTTTAATCCTTTCTTTTTTTTCCACATTTTTTAAAGATTTTATTTATTTATTTCTAGAGAGGGGAAGGGAGGGAGAAAGAGAGGAAGAGAAACATCAATGTGTGGTTTCCTCTCGCTCACCCCCTGTTGGGGACCTGGCCAGTAACTCAGGCATGTGCCCTGACTGGGAATCAAACCGTGACCCTTTGGTTTGCAGCCCATGCTCAACCCACTAAGCTACACCAGCCAGGGCTAAAATCTTAAAACCAAAACAAACAAACAAACAAAAACCTCAACTCAACATTGAACCCCCAGTTCAAGCCACCTCAAACCCAACTCTCATCTTAACTGATACCATCTTGAGTTACCAAATGACAATTCCCACCACCTGTTCATAGCAACCACAACTTACCTCTACTCAGTTCATCCTACATCTCAAATCAACCCTAATTCAATTTAACCCAACATCCAATTCCAAACCCTTAACCCAATCTATTCATTGCCCACCCTCCACCTCAACAGATCCCATCATTAATTCACAACTCCAAACTCACTCCAAACCAACCTCCAATTCAATTCATCTTCAACCTACAAGTATTTTCAACAAAACTCATTGAACCCCTAACTGCTAACCTGTAGGGAACTGCTTTGTGTGCCATGGAAATGTAGTTCAGCACTCACATGGAAAACCAGTGGGGAGCAAGTGGCACACAGGACCACACCCATGGAAAGGTTTTCCCGTGGGGAATCAGGCCTGCATTGTACCCAGACTATGAGACTTGTTTTTGCTAAAACTCCCTCACCCTGAACTGAGGCAGCAAGGGCTTACTGCAGCTTCCTAAAGTCTGTGCTAAACCTCCCAAGTATGGAGTGTGACCAGTTCAACCACTTCTCCCCTTGGTCTGCAACATCCTTCTCTTTGAAGTAACTAGCAACATTCTTTCCTTTGTTATCTGTAAAAGGTAATCACCTACAGCGAATCTGTGCATAGTAAATGAGGACTACCCTCCATGTAATGTACCCAGAAAAGCAATAAAAGCCTGTCCAGGCAGGGGCTGGGGCCTCCAGCCCTCCTCTCCCTCTCTCTCTCTCTCTCTCTCCCTGAGAGTGGCCATGCCTCCCCTTTTTCTACACAGGACTTCTGTTGTCCATATGTATTTGTTCTCTAGTAATTGCAACATACACGGATCCTGCAGGCCAGGATCCGCCTCACCAACCCCAAACTCATTTCAAGGCTTAACTCCCAATTCAATTCTCTTCATCTCCAACCCATCCCCTGACTTGCCACCCAGACCATTGACACCTAGTCATTTCATCTCAAATCAAAACCACATCCTGTGTCATCTCTTGGTGCATCTCTCGATGACATCTCTCGATGTCATTTCAGCTCAGCCATTGCCTCCAGTACCAGTCAAGATCAACATGGAGATCTGCTCTTTCTGCCTGCCTTCCCTCCTGTCTTAAAGATCTGGCTATTCTCAACCCAAAGTGAGTTCCCCCAGCCCCTAAGTCAACTTCACCAAACAGCACACTTAATTACAATAGGTTGTGACAATTCCTCAGGGGAGACAAGCACCAGACCCTAAGAAAGATACAGCCAGCACAAGATGGACACAGACTGGGACACAGTTCACTGGTTTATTCTCAGACTTGAGATGCCAATTATGCCCTGGGGTGGGGAGGGGGTCATGCTAGAATCTCTTTCATCATGTCCCAGCCTTCCATAAGGAGGAAGCAGATTAAATATACAACAGAGGGGGTTTTCCCTTTTAATACAGACCCAGATATAAATAGGGCAGCACCATTGGGATCCTGATTTACCCCATATCTTGGCCTCCAAGCCATCTGGCATGGTAAGGTACATTAGGGGAGACATGAGGGGGCCAGTATGCAGAGCTGAGCTGGAGCAGCCAAAGGAACACACAGCTCAGTCCAGGGAAGTCCCACTTCCCTCTGTAGTCTGACTTCAGTTCCTTCGCTCTGAACCCACCTGAAAACAGGAAGGAGTGAAGGGGTCTCAGCCTGGGATCAGGAGACGTCCAGTGCTTAACTATCGGGAAGGGTAGCACCAAAGGCTGTTGGGGGCACTGACTGAGGAAGGGAAGGCAGGCGTGGGGAGCAGTCATCAGCTGTGAATGAGTTCATTGCTTGGGCGATCGGGGGTGGGCAGGTGCAGACTGAATGGGCACGGAGGGGAGAAGGAGGCAGAGTACATTCATTCCAGCAGGGGTGCGGTTGCAGCAAAGAGGCGGGGCTCTTGGGTCCATGGAGTCCCGCCACAGCCCCCTGGGATGGAGAAGGAGCACTGTTGGACCATGCTGAGCAGACTTTCCCCTGGCTCTTCAGTCACAGGAGATGATAAATAGGGTGGCTTCAAAGCCTCAGCACCAAATGTGCCCCATCCGGGGCTCCCTCGTGGTCCTGCCCACCCTCAAGACTTCTCAGCTGCTGAAGCAGACAGGGCCCAGTTCAAACCCAAACTTCTGGTTCGTCTGGCCAAAGTCAGTGGCCGACACGTCCCACAGGGGCAGAAACCCGGCTCGGGAAGAGCTGAACTCCAGGAGGGTCTTCGCCTGTCCCTTCCGGAGCTGACCATGGAAAGACACCAATGGGGAGTTAGGGGGAGGGCAGCTGAGGCCTCCCCTCCCTGTGCCAGTAACCCTGTGCCTCTGCCTTACCCGGCAGCCATCAGAGGGGACAGTAACGGTGGCTGCCGCTGTCTGGTTGAAGGACAGCTCCTCTCCATTGGTGCCAAGGAAGCGAAGGGAGTGGCCATGGTCGCCGGCAGCTTCATCCAGCCAGGCAGCAGCGTTCTGGCAGGAGTAGGTAAAGCTCTGGCGGGCTGTGGCGCTCAGCAACTTCAGGAAGGTCAGCTGCACCACGTTCACCGGGGACCCATCAGCGTCCACATAGGAGAACTGGGGGTGGGACAGAGCGGGAGGTGAGAGGCCCCACCCAGACGACCATGGTTCTCTCGTGAGTCCCCAGGCAGGGGTGGCCACTGAGCACTTAACATGTGCCCGATGAGCCTGAGAAACTTTGTTGAAACTTTACTTGTGTAACTTTAATTTTTATGTAATTATTTAATTCAAATTTTCTACTCACACTCACAACTCATAACGTAGTCTCCATCCAGTTATTAGAAAACTCAGGTTTGGGATGAACTGGATTTGTGAACCTACCTTTCCCACTGCGGGTTTTATGAAATCCAAGTATTTTCAATGAAATTTCGCTTCTAGATTTAGTCCTGTAAATGTAGCTTTGTACCAGACTCTGAAAATCTTGTACGGACAAAATGTAAAAAGTAACCTTTACATTGCTGTGCCGACATTTCAGACCTGATAATATACTTAATAAAGTATATTAGTAGCATAGCACTGGCTTGAGACGGTATGCTCATTAACACGTCCTCCGGCTTTTTTTCCTGTCTCATTTCCACAGTCCCCACCTCATACGTCCTGGACTCACCTCCTAGATAAACTACTTGCATTTGAATCTTTGTCTCGGGGTCTCTTTGGAGGGAATCCAAACCAAGATACTCCCTTACATCATAGTACAGCTTTATTTGTTTCCTTGGTTATATTCCCAGTAGAATATCAGCTTCATGAAGTCAAGAACTGTGTTTAACATGCTACTATGCTTCCAGTGCTTAGCACATATGTATATGTTTCACAAAAAGGCCCCAAATGGAACCCAAGATCCCCTGCCCCTGAAACCCGATCTTCTCCTTCATGTATCTCAGAATCTCACTGCAGGCCAGTTTCCCAAGCCAGGAACCTGGGCATGTGCATCTCCATCTCACCAGTTACTAAGTCCTATTAACATGCCCGCATTGATGTTTTCTCAAGTCATGCCTTCCTGTCTATCCCCACAGCACCAGCTCCAGCCTGGACCCCCCTCCTCACTCTCCTGGACCAGCACATCCGTCTCCCCCTGGTCTCTCGGCCTCCAGTCTGACCACCACCAACAGCAGCAGCCCCAGGGGCATTTTTTCTAACACAGAGATTTGATCTGGGCCCCTCCCTCAATCAAACACAAGCCTCAGCTCTCTACTGCCCTCGGCTCTTTCTGGAGAGATGGGCCTAGATTTCACCTACCTCCCCAGTCTCTTCTATAACTACATTCCCCCTTTTACTCTCTAAAGCAGAGAAAGTGGCTTTTTCTTCTTTAAATTCACCATACCCTCTCTCGACTCTAAGCCTTTGCAAGTGCTGTTCCCTCTGCCTACAACACTTTTTCTTGTCCTCTTGAACTTGCTAACCCAACTCACTCTTTAGGCCTCAGCTAAGCTGGCACTCCTACCACGCCCTTCCAGCACAGCCCCTGGATTTCCACCCTGCCTCCCGCTTCCCTCAGCACAGGTCTGGCACTGCCCCAGTCAGCCTCCCTTCCCCAGTCGGCAGACTTGTTCCATTCAGCTCACCTCTCCAAGCCCCTCTCCCAACCTCTCCAATGGTCCCCACAGGTTTTCAAACCATCGGCCACTTCGCCTTCAGCAACTCACCTTCTTCCCTCGACGGAATGTGCTATACCAGCTGCCCGGCTTTTCCCTGGACCAGGAAGCCAGTTTCACCTGCGGAGAGAGGGAGGGTCAGTGGCAGATGCCCACCAGGTCCTTTCTCCATTTACCTCCCACTGATGAAGGCTGCAGGTTGTAAACAGGTGGGACGCTCAGGCTGTCGGCTGGCCAGGGTAGTGGCCGTGGCTGGTGTATGGGGCAGGCCCAAGAGGAGGGGGCCCAGCCCTCTGAGGCAGCCCTCAACTGGTGACTGACAAGAGTCGGAGGATGAATGCCCCAGCATCCTCTCTGCCCAGGTGGGACGCCTCCCAGAAGTCGTCAGGGGAGCAGAGCCTTGGGTGCCCTATGGTGGCACCTGAACAATACATGCCTCTCTCGATCCTCCTCACATCCTCCTCTCCCCTCCTGGTGTCTCCTGGGATTACTTCCTAAATAAATGACTTGCCTGAAATCTGGGGAACCCAAACCTAGAACCTTCCTCACTTCCCTCCCCAGCTTCTGTCCGAGCAGGAGGAAAGTGAGCTGATGAGGGACCAGGCCTCAGATGTCAGCACCTGCTTACAGATCAAGTTCTGCATCCAGCCCCCATGCGTGACGGGGTCTGAGTGCTCACTACCCAGGGCTCTGACAGTTAAAAATAGTAATAAAGTACCAGAAGAATATTCTTAGGCATCTTTGCAGGCCCTGTGCTGGCTGTGTATGTTACCTGCAGCTGAGATATTAGCACACAGCCGGTGTTTAGTCAGTGTGTCCTGGTACGCACTTTAGCACTGCAACAACGGCACAACCACCCCAGCGGCGACCCTTGCTTGAGCCCCATTTCACAGATTTAAACACCAGGTGCCAGACCTGGGTTCCCGCGCAGCCATGCAGAGCTGGGCTGCTCACGCACTGCCCTCCACTGCTGCGCCTGGTGCTTAGTGGGAGGCTGTTAGTCTCAGGGCTCCCTGCTGGAGAACCCCAGGATTTCTGGGGGCCAGATGACCTCACCTCTCAGCTTGCAGCTTGGAGCTCAGTGAACCCACCAGGCCTATAAGATAGTAAGCAAGTCAGGAGGTGGGTGGCCACATGGCTAAGGGCTGGGACTCCAGAGGCAGACTGCCCTGGGTAACCTCATCGCCTCTCTGTGCCTCAGTTTCCCCATCTGGGGGATGACAGAGCTACCACGGCTGGTGGTTAGGGCTCAGTACGTCAATGCACCTAAGTTACTGGAACGGGCCTGGCACGTGTAGGCACTACTTAAAGGTTCATCATCATTCCTGGTTTCTTTACTAGTTTTTCTTGCCTGTCTTCCTCTGAGAAGACAAGCTCCATAAACGCAGAGAATTTTTTTTTTTAATTTTCGGCTGTAACCCCAGCACTAGATACTCCATAAATGTTGGCGGAAGGAAGGACCAGGTCCCGGACAAAGCCAGGCGTGCACCGGGGGTGCTGGGGGCGGGGAAGGCGGGAACAGCCTTTCCTGGAGGGTAGGAGAACGGGATGGTCCCCAGAGACCCATTTCTCCTCCCACCAACGGCCCCCAGAGGCACTCACGGTCTCAAACTTTTTGTCGGGGTAGAGGCAGGTCTCTCCTCCTGCCGTGAAGTTGCAGAAAACCCTGAGCGCGTCTCGCGCACAGCCCTGGTTGGGGTCAATCCAGTATTCCCCTGCCGCAGAGCCAGGCGGGGCGCGTGAGCGGGGCGGGACCGACGGCTCCCCGCCCCCGGGGGAGGGGCAGGACCTCACCATCTGGCAGGTGCGGGTGGTTTCGGTGTAGTTCACCGCACACAAGACCCGGACGCTCAGCGGTGCCGGGAGGGCTCCGCAGCTGCTCCAGCTCAAAGCTCAGCGACAGGAGAGAAGCCAGTACCTCCTCCAGGCCGCCCTCCGGGGCCTCCAGCGCTCCCCTGCCGGAGACGGAGCGCCGGCGCCGGACTCCGTGTATCTCCGCAGGGAGACCCTGAGCAGAGACCAGGGCGGAAGGGACAGCAAGAGAGCCGGGCAGAAATGACAGCGACGTGGGACGCAGAGAGAGACGGGGGGGGGGGTGGAAAGATGAGAACGGGACGGGGAGGTGGAGACAGACAGACACGCGGGAAGGAGAGAGACAGGGATAGGGAGGGAGAGAAGTAGGAAGACAGAGAAGAGAGTGAACCACAAGGTCAGGCAAAGAGCAGAGAGAGAAAAAAACAGATAAAATAGCGGAACAAATGTTGGAGACAGAGGAAGGCCAGGTGAGTCCGAAGAGGTGGACAGGACAGAGTGGAGAGACCGCGGGTCAGCGCCCCGTGGACGTCCCCCAGATCCCCACCCCCAGCCCAGATCCCTCTTCGACTTTGGAGGCACCTGCATCTGCAGAGCAGATGCGCCCCACCCGGTTCTGAGCGCGGGGGGGGGGGGGGGACCCCGTGGGGGCACTTCAACCTTAGGCCCTGGGGAACTTACCGGGGGGCCTGGGGGACCTGGGGGGCCGGTGTCACCACGGGGGCCAAGGGATCCCTGCAGGGAGAAGTCATTTGGGGGTGGACTCTGTCTCTGCAGGCCCCCCAACACCTGCACACACACATAAACACAGAGCCCTGGGGGGGGTGCGATTTTGAGCACCAAGCATAAAACACACATCTTCTTTCAGTATTTTAATGTCTCTAAAATCAGCATCTTAGCCTCTTTGGCAAGCCATGGTTTACTTGGCAGAACTATTGTCTTTCACAGCAGTTTATAAAGTAATGGTGCATCTCACAACTGATGGCATCTTAGGTTTCATTAAATACAATGGTAGGTGTTGGGTAAATATTTGCTGCATGTGTGATTGAATGACTAAATAAGAGAACAAATGCAAAGGCGTCGAGGGTTCAGTGCAATGGAGGCGGGCAGGGGGCTGAAACATGGAAGCCCCCGAGAGCGGGGAGGACTCACCGGCACCCCCTTTGAGCCTTTCTGTCCCAGCGGGCCCTGCAGAGTAGAGACAGAGAGAATGGAGTCCTGGCTGGCTCACCACAGTGACCCCCATCTCACAGACCCCTCATACTCACCGCCACACCTGGGGGCCCAGGGGGCCCTGAAGGGCCAATGGAACCAGGGGGACCCTGGAGAAAGGACATCAGGGTCGTTATTGATGGGGTTCTTCTCTATGGTCCAGTCCCCTCAAGACAGCCTCCAGCCTTCAAGCCCCCAGAGAGAGCCCCGGTTTTCCCCAGACAAACCCCTATCATTCCAGACCCAGGCTTCCCTGACCCCCCCCAGTCTGCAAACCAGCCCATCTCTGCCACCCCACCTGCCCCTCCTTCAAACACATTCTCCCCACGGGGGGCAGGACACACACTCACAGGCTCCCCCTTGGGGCCAGGAGGGCCCTGCACGCCTGGCAGCCCCTGATCCCCTTTCTCACCGGCCTCCCCAGGGGGGCCGATGAGGCCGATTAATCCGATGTGGCCCTGGAGGACAAGAGAGGCATGTGTGGGGGAAGAAAGGGGGGGGGGGGGGGGGGGTTCCTCCTAGAGCCCCGGGGCAGTGCGTTTGGGAGTGAAGGAGACCTCAGGCTCCCAGCCCTCCGCCAGGGAGGAAAGGGAGGCCCGTGAGGGAGGGAAGTCACGGAAGAAGGTCTCCTCACCTTTTCCCCCTTGAGGCCAGCCTCTCCCTTCAGCCCTGGGAGGCCAGAGGGCCCCTGGAAGGGGAGGGAGAGTCAGACGGTGAGGTTCAGACATAAAATCTCCAGGCCCATGTGGGTGATTGGGAGGCGGTCAAATGGGAAATTTCCCAGGTTTCAAAGGGGCATTACCGAGGATACGATCATGGGGATGGTCAGGAGAGAGGGGGATGGCGAGGGGAATGGAGGGGTTGGCTGGAGAACGGCTAATACTCAGTGGTGAGGATCAGTGTGGTGGTCAGTGTAGACTATCAGGACTGATGGTCAGGTTGGCCTGTTGAGATGGTCTACACTGTGGTCAGTGTAGACCGTCAACATGGAGGGTCGGTGTGGCTGGCCAGTGCAGACCACCAAGACGAGTGGTCAGAATAGATAATACACATGGTCAGGGCAGACCTTCGGACAGTCAGTGAGGGGGCAGCCGGGCCATCAGCACCAGGGTCACACCACATGGGCCTCTCAGTGCCAGGGCCGCAGGGACAAAGAAGTGTCTTACCATGGGGCCAGGAGGACCCATCTGTCCAGGAGGTCCCAGGAGGCCTGGTTCACCCTGGGATGCGACAGAACATTGGGGGACCGCACCCTGCCAGAACGCAGTGTGGCTGCCCCTCCCACTACCAGGATCAGCCCCTCCCAAATTCGATGAGAAATTATAAAGTGTGAGCACACAGGGAAGGCCTGATCCCACCCCCACCCCACCCCTGTTCCTGCCCCACTCACCACAGGGCCAGGGATCCCCCGAAGACCCTCAGGCCCAACACGTCCAGGGGGCCCTTGAGCCCCCAGAGGACCTGTCCTCCCTATGGGCCCGTCAGGACCTGGCTCCCCCTACAGTGAACAGGGGCAAGGGAGGGGGCCGAGAGTCAGGACATACCTGCCTCCTGACCCCCTAACCAAGAACTGTGTGTGGGGGGGGAATTGGCGCACTGGTGTGGTCACAGGGCCCCTCCCCATTCTGATGAGCCAGCTGTTGGCTGAGGGATCAGGGCAGGGACCCTTCTGTGGACAAGCCACTCACCTTGGCACCTTTCTCCCCTTCTCTACCTTCTCGTCCCATTTGGCCAGGAGGACCCTGAGAAAGGGGAGACAGTTAAGGGGGCCCTTTGGGAATGAGTGGGGGGTCACGTGAGTGGGGGCCTGTGGGAGTGAGTGGGACAAGGTTGGAGCCAGGGCAGCCAGGGCAGCTCGGAGGCAGGTCATCACTCACCCTCTTGCCAGGGGGCCCAGGGGGGCCAGGCTCCCCAGAAGCTCCAGGCGGGCCCTGTGGAGATTGCGACAGCAGCAGGGTGGAATCGGCCAGCGTCGGCTGACCGTGACTGTAGCAGGAGGCCTCTGACCCAAAGACAGCCTCACCCAAACATCGCCCAGCACCAGCCATCACTGCCCCTCCCTTGGGCTGCTCACATTCACAGCGAGGCCCCAGAGAGGCAAAGCAGGCGCACCCGCAGAGGCCCCGGTACCTCATTCACCCACGCCTCTGGCCCCCCAGCTCGCCCGCTCACCAGCCCCCACCCCCCCCAGCACCGCCATCCTCCATTTCCTCACTCACGGGTCCTCCAACATCACCAGGATCTCCTCTTTCCCCTGGAGAACCATCTAGACCCTGTGGGGGTAGAGCGCAGAGTAGGGAGGGAACGTGGGGACACACGAGAATTTGGGGGTGAGGCTTGGAGGATAACGCAGGTTATTTGTGCCAATGACCTTACCCAGGTGTGTGGGGGTAGGGAGATTAGGACACCAGGTCTGTGGGTGGTGAGGGGGCCTATGGGGTGAGTGAAGAATTAAAAACTATGGTGGGCTTGGTGGGCGGGGGAGGGCTCACACCCACCGAAACGCCAGGGTCCCCAGGGGGTCCTGGATCTCCTGGGAGCCCTGTGGGGCCCTGAAACACAGAAGGGTGAACAATCACATGCTGGAAATGTTGCGCATTCATTCATTCAGTGAACAGATCGGTGTGGCCCCGGCACAGTGCTGGTTCCTGGGTTACACGAGGAACAAACCACAAAACCCCCATCCCAGTAGGGAGAACAGTCCAGTGTTCAGTGCATGGGGGGCTGAGCCAAGTAAGAACCTGCATGCATCACCCCACTGTCCGGCTGGCAGCCTCCCAGCTCTGGACTCACAGATAGAACTGACCCAGAGGGACGCTGCAGTGGCGGGGTGGTCCCACAGACTGAAGCTCCTCACTGCCCTGCCACCCCAACCCGAGCCCCGGCCCCAAGACGCAGGAGGGCCTCAATCCCTGCTGGAGCGCAAAGCCCACATAAGCACCGGTCTCAACCTTGTTCCCAACATCGTTAGAACAGCCCCATGTGGAAGCAAGGTTCACTCCCACAGTGATGTATAACCACTGCGTTTCCACATTGATTCATTCATCCATTCATTCATTCAATCAATCATTCACTCACTCGGCCATGTTCTGGTTGCTGGTGGAATCGGCACACTGGAGGACGGGGCACCGGGCTGAAGCCGGGTTTGTGCAGACAGAAGTGCCTCCCCCATCTCCGCCCCCACCTTCCCCAGGACTCACCACGTTCCCTTTGGCTCCATCCTCCCCAGGGGGGCCCTTCTTGCCTGGGGGTCCTGCAGCCCCAGGTGGGCCTGAGTCCCCCTTTTCGCCAACTTCTCCCTTGGGCCCCTTTGTAGAAACATAAGTCAGAAGTTAGCAGAACCTGGACTCTCCAGGGGTCAAGTGTAGCATACCTGGATTTAAGAATCTGGGTGGTCTGGGACTTTCTGGGGGTCAGGGATCAGAGTAGCCTAGACTGCCCAAGAGCAAGGAGTCAAATATATCTAGAACTTAACAAGAGTCAGGGATCGGGGTACTCCATTTGCCTAGAGGTCATGGGCAAGGTGGGTCGAGCCCGTGCGCCCCCCTTGAGTGAATTAGAGAAGGGGCCCCTGTGGGCACCTGACTCCCAGCCCAGGGCTCACGCTGGATCTGAGCCCCATATACCTGCTCGGTTCCACGACCCTGTGCAGTGTGCAACCTGGAGAGCTCTATGTAGCACTGACACCTTTAAGGCTCTGTCATCAAAATCACCCAGATGTCCATAGGTTCTGGGTCAGCAGGTGACCTAGGACTGCCTAGAGGTCAAGGTGGCCTGAGATGCCCAGAGGCTAGGGGTTCCCTGAGATGGGTGCAGGGGTTCAGGACAGTCACTCACAAGGATGCCTGAGGCTCCTGGGGGCCCGGGGTCTCCAGCCTCTCCTGGCTCACCCTACAGGAGGCAAAGTCGGGTCAGGGGGAGTAGAGGTTCGATCCTGGCAGACAAGAAGAGGCTTCCCCGAACAGCCACCCCCAATCAGGACTGGTGGAGCTTCCCCCACCCTGTGTGGTCCGCAGCCCTCTCTCACCTTCTCGCCCACAGCGCCCGGCTGACCGACTCCTCCGGGTGGCCCTGGGGAGCCCTGGAGAGACAGCAAGGGGCGGAGTGGGGACGTGGGACCCCAACCTCTCCTTGGGAACTAGATGTCCCACCTCTGAAGCCCTTCCCCCAGCCTCAGAATCCTCACCTCTGATCCACTAGGGCCAGGGGGACCCCGAGGACCTGGAGCTCCAGGGGGACCCTGTGGAACAGTCAGAATAGCATCAAGTGACCCCCATGCACCCCCAAGCACAGCCCTTGGTGCTGTGCCTCGCAGGATCCTTAAAATGACAATGCGCCCTGTGACCCCCGTGTCGGTCTAATGGGCTCCCTCACTCTGCCACCCCTCGCCCTTCCATCTTCTCCCCTGTTGTCCATACCATGGACCCCACGTCTCCGACCTCCCCTTTTTCTCCAGGAGGGCCTGGCAGTCCCTGGGGAACAAAGAGGCGAGATTAAGGCAAAGTGTGAGGGGAGCCAGAGGCTGTACCCCCAAACTCAGACACCTACCTGAAGGCCAGGGGGGCCAATCACCCCCACGAAGCCTCTCACTCCATCATCTCCTTTCTGCCCAAAGAGGCCCGGGGGTCCCCGGCGTCCCTGAGCCCCGTCTGCTCCCTGGGGGAAGGAAAGGGCCAGGCAAAGTTAGGGTCTAGGTCAATGGTTGGAAACAGACTCAGGGTCAAAGTCAAGACTGAGGATGATGGTTAGAGTTGAAGTTGGGATTAAGTTTACGGAGAGTCAGGGTTAGGTTTGGAGTTGGGGGTTTGGGTTGTCAGAGCTTGGGAATGAAGTCAAGGGCTGAGTCAAAGTTTTGAGATAGACATTGGGTGATAAGACAGGTTCAGATGAAAGTCAAGGTCATGAGCAAGGTTCAGACAGGGCTGAGATGGAATTTAGGCTTGGGTTTGAGGTTGGGGCCAAGGCCAGATTCAGAATTTGAGCTCGGATTTTAGGTCAGCACTAGAGGTAGGTTAGGGTTGGGGTCGTGGTGGGAGTGGGCCAGGGTCTGGCTCACGCAGGAATTGGAGATAAAGACTGAGCTGGGAGTGAAGTTGAGGTCATAAGCAGGGTTGAGATTAGGGGTGAATTAGGGTTCAGGGCAGGGTTCAGGTTCACACTGGGTGTCAGTGTGGAGGAGTGGATAGGGCTGGAATTGAGTCTGGGATGGAACTGAGGTGTAGGACACTGTCCCTTTCCACTGGGGACCCAGGGGATGGTCGCAAAGCCAGGAGCACCTACCGGGGAACCTGGGTGTCCCGCAGGACCCCGTATCCCTGCTGGTCCAGGTGGGCCCTGGAGGAACAAACAGAGTTGAAAACTCCCTCAAGTTCAAGATGGTGGGTGGCACTGGAGATGTCAATCACTGTCAGCTGCCTATTCCCCCCACCAGCAAGCCACAGCTGCACAACACCCTGCAACCTTGCCTTCCTGGCCACCGACTGACGGGATCAGACAGACGGCTGTCCTGAGCTTGGCCTAGCAGGACTTTTCCCCAGAAGTCCCACCAGCACCAATGCTGGGACTGGGCCTGAAGTCCAAAGGGAGGCCGGAGATGCGATGCCTCAGAGCCAAGCAGTCACAGCAGAGAGAACCAGGTGCCACCAAGAAGAGGGACAGGAGAGAGTAACCAGCTCAGTGCCCTCCCTGGTCTCCTGGGGTCCCAGCAACTCTTCAGGTATTTGAGTAGCTCTGTTACTATCAGGTGTCAAGGTGGGGCTCAGGAAGGCAGGAAGCCCCATGACTTCTCCCCCTGACCGACCTCCCATCCTCCGCATCCCTCTCCCCTCCCTGAGACCGCACCCCCAGTGAGAACCCGCCCCCAGTGAGGGCCCCCACTCACCGCATCCCCCTTATCACCTTTGCTCCCCTTGTGCCCAGGGGTGCCCACCTCCCCCTGGAAAGAAAACAGGATGAGGGAGGACCCTGGCACCCCTACCCACGGCTTTCCCCAGCCTCTTCCTCTTCATGAATGCTCACCTTGTACCCTTCCTCCCCAGAAGGTCCGGCAGCTCCAGGGGGCCCAGGAAGCCCCAGGGGCCCTGGGATCCCATCTTGGCCAGTGGGACCAGGGGGACCACGTTCACCCTGATGCAGGAGTAGAAGGAGGGATGTCAGGGACTAGGGCAGGAGTGGAGTCCCGGTATGTGGAGGGCCTGGCATGTGGAATGGGGTGGGCAGAGCACTTACCGGGGACCCCTTCTCTCCTGTAGAGCCAACAGGGCCTGGGCTTCCACTTTGACCAGGAAGCCCGATGCCTCCTGCTGAGCCCACAGGCCCACGCTCCCCAGGGGAGCCCTGAAAACAGGGGTGAGAGGTCAGGAAAAATAGCAGTAGTTGTAGTTCCCATTTCTGGACTGTTTTCAAGCTGCCAGGCACTGAGTTCATGTGATTACCAGCACATATCCAGCATGACCCCTCCCTGCCCTTGCTTCCTCCTGCTTTCACTGTGGTTCACTCCTCTCCAGCCACATAGGTTCCCTTGCTATTTCCTCCAATAAGCAAGGCATGGTCCTGCCTCAGGGCCTTTGCACATGCTGTCCCTCTGCCTGGAATGCTGTTCCTTCAGACAATCACATGATTCCTTCCTTACCTCCTCAGGTCTCAACTCAAATGCTACCTTCTCAGGAGGCCTTCGCTGACCAGCCCCTTTCACCCGCTCTTCTGCTTCCCTCTCTCTGCACTGCTCTGTTTTCTCATCATTGCTGATTTCTCATCTTCCCAACTAGACTGTGACCTCCAGGAGAAAGGAGGTTTTATATGTTTTTGTCTGTCATGCAGATAAGCTTGCATCAGAAGGATCATCTCATCAAGTTCAGTGATAACCTATGAGAGGGGCTATGATATAGATGAGGAAACTAAGGCCCACCAAGTGACATAACTGCCCAGTGAGTGAGTGACAGAACTGGATGTGACCCGGAGCTGTTTGACTCCCAAAATAGTGGGCTTAATAAAGACAATGCCCAGCCTCCCAGACACCCCAAGTTCCCTCCACCCTGCTCCCCACCCAGCAGAAGGGGTTGCACTTACATTGGCCCCAGTGGGGCCCGGGGGGCCTCTGTCACCCTTCAAACCGATAGGTCCCTGAAGGAGGGGACAATTCAGTCAAGAGACTCCCACAGGTGGCCCAGGTCCTGTCTTTACTCTGCAGGGCTCATGGTTCCCACCCCCTTCCGGGCACCGAGGTTCATGGGTCAGTCTCCTCCAGGTCACACGTGTCCCACAGTTCCCACCCCCTTCCGGGCACCGAGGTTCATGGGTCAGTCTCCTCCAGGTCACACGTGTCCCACAGTTCCCACCCCCTTCCGGGCACCGAGGTTCATGGGTCAGTCTCCTCCAGGTCATTCCTTTACTTTCATGGTTGTCCCCACCCAGGATGCTGTCACCGTGTCCCTGCCCTGAGGTCCCCGTCCCCTTCTCTGCTTCACAGCCCAGCCAGACAGACACAAAAGGGCCCAGAGGATACTCACAGGGTCCCCTGGGGCTCCTTTGGGGCCAGGGAAGCCCACAGGTCCAGGTGGCCCTTCCTTCCCAAGGGCTCCCATTGGCCCCAGGTCCCCCTACAGGAGCGCAGAGGAGGAAGGTCAGGCTCCGGGGAAGGGTTGTCTCCCCCAAACCTAAGTCTGAGCCCCTCCCCTGTGGGGCTAATGCTGAGCCTTCAGGTGGCCTGGGGCCACTGAGGAGCCCATGGGGCCACTCTGCCAAGATTCCCCACAGGACAGGGTCTCACCTTGGCCCCCTCTCTGCCCTCCAGTCCTGGAAGACCTTGTTCACCAGGAGGTCCAGGTGGGCCTGGGGGCCCCCGCTCACCTAGAGGTCCTGCTTCTCCTGTCTTTCCCTGGAGAGAAAGATGACCCCATTAGGCCCATCTTGAACAGAAGTGGTCTGGGGTGGAGGGTCTATCTGAGATCCATTTGCCCCCAAATATCCCCCAACTGGGACAAAACTGGGGGCGCTCGTTGACTCTGCTCTGACCTGAGGACCCACGACACCAGCTGGACCAGGTGGGCCTGTTTGACCTTGAAAGCCCTGAGGAGAAAAATTAAAAGGCGATGTCACATGGGGTGGGGGGAGCGGAGAAATGGAGAGCCTGATGGGGTCAAAGGTCAAAGGGTCACTCACCAAGTCTCCTCTCTGTCCAGGGTGCCCAGGTCGCCCATCTTTCCCCTGGGGGCCCTGAGGGACAAGGTGGGAGAGAGTCAAGGCACCAATAAGGAGCCTCTTCATTCTCCAGCTCCCCTCCCACCCACCGCCCAATCAGGGTGAGCTCACTTACAGGGGGCCCCTTTGGCCCAGGGAATCCAGGGGGCCCTTGTAGCCCTGGAAGGCCCTGAAATGGAACCAGAAGTCATTACTCATCCCTCCTGCCTAGCCCCCCTGAGTCCCACATAACGACAAGAGCTTGCACATATTGATCACCTTCTGCATATTATGCACACAGAAGTCATTTCATTCACCACTGAGGCCCAGAGAAGTTAAGTGATGGGCTCAATGTCACAGAGCAGATAAGTGGCCAAGGTAGGATTTTAACTCATGGCTCTGATGTCAGAGGTTGTACTGTTTCCACTCCCTACTTCCTGGATTTGTCTCCTCCCCAGAAACACACACACACACATACATATACACACACTCACCTTTTCTCCAGGGGTCCCAGGGGCTCCATCCTGGCCTACATCACCCTAGGACAGAGTGAATGAGATTCAGGCTGCAGAGCACGCTCACTGGGAGGGGCTGGTGGGGGCTTGGTGAACCTGGGCAGAGGGCCTGCCTGGGGTGCTTGAGCACCCACCTACCCCATACCTTGGGGCCTGGTTGCCCTGTGGCACCTGGTTGCCCCCTCTCTCCCCGGGAGCCCTGAATAGAAAAGAAACAAGGATTAGAAGTGAGAGGGTGGAGGAGCTCAGGATATGAGATCAAATCCTCTGGGTCCTCTCCCTCCGTGACTCCCCCTCTTATCCCACCAGGGACACTGATATAACCCAAATCCTCTTCCTCGCTCACTCCCCTACTCTCCCCTCGCAGCGGCCCCCACAAGACCCTGTGGAGTGGGAGAAGCTCTCTGTTTTTTTCTTACTTGCGGTCCCCGCTCTCCCTCCAGACCAGGCTGCCCTGCCTTCCCCTGGAAAACAAGTCAGGTGAGGGGGAAGCAGAAGAGACTCATGGTACAAACACATGACACAAAGGCTCCCTGTCACAGATCTAGAAAGACACCTGCCACCATCTGTTCACAAGCCTTTCACTCACACACACACTCAACCACGCAAAGATCACAGACATGTCTGATTGCACCTAGAGGATCCACAAGTACAAGCATGTTTACCTGCATGGACACCTATGTATCACAGCTACACACTAGGCACACATGACTGCATGCCATCATGACAGGCTTAGGCTGACATGTGGAGCTCAGCATGTAGTGTTTCTTGAACACGTGTGTACTTGATGTAGACACATGTATGCATGGATTTATGTGAAAACTCAGTCCTTCTAAACACAGCACATGTATCCACTCATGTGCACTATACAGTGTCCATTTACACAGCAACAATGCAGAGCAAAGAAATGCATGCATACATACACAGCCACCCAGTATACACAGGAATGCACGTGTGTGTTGTATCCTTTCATACATGTGTGCATGCCCCTCACATGCATTTGTGTCACAGTCACACAATGCATGCACAGACTCATGCTCTGTTCACTCAGTCACAGGTCCTCAAGCTGCAGCACCCAGACCCCAGCTAATCCACACTGAGAGGCACATGAGACACACACTCACATGCACACACAGACACCTGTGCCATAATGCCAGGTGGGGTCACCTGTGTGTGCCCTGCATTGCACATGGAAAGAAGCATGCATATAAGTGTCTCCAACATAGACGCAGTTACCCGGGGCCCACCCACCATCACGCACAGCCACGGTGTTGACCCCAGGTGTGCCCTTCCCTCCCCCTGCCCATCACAACTCACCCGCTTTCCTTTCTCCCCTAATGGTCCCAGGGGACCAGGAAGGCCAGTAGATCCCTGAGTAGAGAGAATTAGAGAGAAAAGATCAGGTGAGGAGTATGGGTGGTGAGCAACATTGGGGTGAGCACCCCATTCAACCACCCATTTTTTAGGCTATTTTGGGCCACTGACTCCAGAAGCTTCTTTGGTCCCTCCAGCCCCAGCCTCCTCCAGAGCAGTCCTCCACCCTCCTCTCCCCTTACTTTCCCTGCTTGCTCACTCCACTGCAGTCACACTGGCTTGCTCAGTGCTGCTCAGAGGACACCAATACTTTCCTGCCCCAAGGCCTTTGCACTGGCTGCTCCCTTTGCCTAAGATGCTCTTCTCTCAGGTACCCACAGAGCCAGCTACTCCTCACCATTTACATATCACTCAGACATCTGGCTTGCTGCCAGCTTCCTGACCACCACATCCTCTGAGTCACTCTCTCTCGATCACACTGTCCCATTTTATTTTCCCTTATTCCCTTGCTTATTTATTCAACATCTGTTTTCCCCACTAGGGCACAGTGCTCTGGTCTTATTCCCCACCACCTGGCATGCAGTGTGTGTTTCCTCAATGCTCATTAACTAACCCACTGTCCCTCCTGTTCTGCCCCTTGGAGGCTCCCGCCTCCCCACAGGCTCTGATATTCCCTCCCACACCTCACTGTGTTTTGAATCCCAGATCCACCACTCTGTGACCCTGGAAAAATGGCTTAGCCCTTCTAAGAATCAGTCTCCTTGTTTGTAGCCAATAGTATCTCCCTCATAAGGTTTTGGTGAGGCTTAAATAGGATAAAGTATAGAAGGAGTTTTACACAGTGCATGGCACATAGTAAGTATTCAAGAAATGCTAGCTGTCACTATTATTTCTGGTTATCACTATCCACTATGTACTGAATAGTTCCTCATCAAAATTCACATGCTGAAGCTCTAATCTCCAGTATTAAACCCCGGTGTGATGGTACTTGGGTTTTTTGTTTGTCTGTTTGTTTGTTGTTTTTATTCTTGCCTGAGAATATGTTTATTGATTTGAGAGAGGTGGGATGGGGGGCAGAGAAAGAGAGATGTGAGAAATATCAACTGGTTGCCTCCCATACCTGCCCTGATGGGGAATGGAACCCATGACCTAAGTATGTGCCCTGACCAGGAATTGAACCCACAAAATTTAATGTACGTTCCAACCAACTAAGTGTACATTACTGGCCAAGGCAGTGTGATGGTATTTGGAGGTGAGTTCTTTGGAAGGTGGGTAATTATGAAACAGGATGTAGCCAGAGCCCCTCCCACCCCCCACTCAAAGAGACATTTGTAACAGGGTCCAGAACTCGGGGTATCCAGGAAATATTAAAAGTATATAGATGTTCTAACACCCACAAGCCTGAACTGGTGATGGAACACAGGGAGCAGGACCATTGAGAGTTATTTTGCATATCAATAGTTTTGCAAATAACAGCAAAAGTGGTTATTTAACATATCTATAATGGCTGGTTAGTTTCATGGATATGTTAAGTAGCTGTGGCCATGCTTTTGAGCCAGGGAGATGGGAGTGATTTCGACCCAGGTTGTAACTGGGAGGCAGCTCCCCTTGGTTGCAGCACCTGTGTGAGAACTTGGAGTTGGTTTGCTCCATGCCATGGGGCCACACCTGCCTGGACTTACTATGGCAGCCCAGAAAAGCTGGAAAAAAAAATACCAGAATGCTGGCAGGTATAGCCAATTGTAGGAGGAGTCAGAAAAGGGGCTGCAGAGGAAGATTGGCGCTGGGATTTAAACCCAGGCTTGGCAGCCATGACAAGCAGAACCACACAGCTTTAGGAGAGAGGAACCATGCGGCTTTGGCAGGGGAGAACCACGTAGCTTTGGGTCTCCCTTTGCCATGCAGCTTAGGAAGCCAGAAAGCAAGACATAGCAGTGATGCAGAGCTCTCTCAGTGGTTTGGAAGAATGCAGGAGAGATGCTGCAGGAGGGAAAGGGGTGAAAGGACTCTTGCTGGTGGGCCATGAGAAGGTGCCATGCGGGTCTGGATTAAGAACTAGCGATCGCAGCAACACAGCTGATGGTGCTGGGAACCATGGGAGGCCTGCCAGCTGAGCACGGGGAAGGACCAGGGGCTACCTAAGCCACAGACTTCTATTTTTTTCCTGAGATACAGTACCCATAACTGGGCAAAGGGGGGAAGGAAGGACTGTGTATGTTTGTGGGTGTTTTAAGGGACTTTGGCATTTTAACAAAGACATTAAGTCATTACTCTAAGTCTGTATAACTTTTGAATAAATAGTTCCTTTCCTTTTCACCAAACTCTGACACTGAGACCCATAATTTCAATTTCCAAGGGTGGTGGGCAGGGCAAACCTAGTACAGAGGGTCCCTGGGAGACAGGGGGGTCCATTTGGTAACAGTATCTTGTCCCCTACCACAGGTCCATTCTGTAACAGTTTGGTCATGTGAGTGGAGCCCTCATGAATGGGATTAGACTGGATCTCTCTATCTGTCTACCCATCTCTTCCCCACCCTCCCCCAAAAGAAGAGTGTCAGGCACAAATGAGGAAGTGCCCTCACAAGAACCCAACCACACTGGCATTCTGACCTCAGAGAGCCACCCTCCAGAACTGTGCAAAATAAATTTCTGTTGTTTAAGCCACTCAGTCTAAGATACTTTTGTTACACAACAGCCTGAGCTAACTAAGACGCTGACCTCACCTTAACAGACACACCACACCTCCTGCAATGCATTGCTCGATGCCCAAGCCACACTCACCAGCCTTGGCTTGGTGTCTTCCCTTCAACATCCATGAAGTTCTCCCACAGACTGAGTTCTATTCTTGGCTATGGTGCCATGAGTTTATTACCAAACCTAATTATGTCAGTTGCCTTTGCTACTGGAGTCCTGTGACTTAGTGAACATTTACGAAAACTGATGAGATGTAGAAAGGAAAAGAAAAATGTCTGTCAAGTCTAAGTTAAGATCCAAGATGGTGGAGGAGTATGTGGAAGCTACACAAACCTCCCCACTGGACCAATCTGGAATTACAACTAAGTTGTAGAGAAATCATCCAGAACAACAAGCTGATCACTAGCTGGAGAGAAGCCTTCTAACCACGGACAGATGGAAGAAACAACCTCACCACAGCAAGACTGGTAGGGAGTGTGGAGGAGGCACGAGAGGGCTGGCTGGGCTCCAACAGGCAGCAGCTGAAGTTCCAGAAGGATATTTCATGGCCAGGGGTTCCTCTGAAAAGTGCGGGGTCTAAACCCCAAGGTGAATTTCCCAGCCTACGGCACCAGATCCAGAAAGAACTCAGATAACGTCCAGCTGTGAAGAGCAGCAGGGTTTCTGTCTGCCAAGGAGAGACGGCTGGAGATGCAGACAGCCTCTTAAAGGGCCAATGCAACAAGATTTAATTTGCAGCCACATACCCTGGGCTCCGGCAGAGGGAGGGCAGATTGGACCAGAGACATTTGAGGACAGTCTGGGGCAGATGGCTCTGGGGACAGGACTGAAAGCACAGCCACCAGGATCCCTGTGCTGGGTCACCCCCCGCACTGCAGGGGCCACCTTTCTCAGGCAGAGCACTCCCCTCCAAGTGGCACCCACCTGAGGAGAAGCAACAGCTATGCCCACAGGAATTACTCTGCCCTGCCCTGTGGTGCTTAAACCTGGATGCTGAGCACAGCTTGATTAGATTAACAGCTGATCTGTTTAATGGCTGATTTGTTTAACATTTAAGGCAGAAAATACAAAGAAGCAGCCAAAATGGGAAGACAAAGAAACAGACCACAAATGAAAGAACAAGGGAATTCTCCAGAAGAATAGATTAAATGAAGGCAAGCAATTATCACAGAGTAATGATTATAAGAATATTCAACAGCATGAAAAAAGACATAGAAAATTTTTAAAAAGGACTAGTCAGAAATAAAGAATGCAATATCTGAGATAAATAATACACTGCCAGGAATAAACAGTAGGTTAGATGAAGCAGTAGACAGAATCAGTGTTTTGGAAGACAAGGTAGGAAAAAACACCCACATAGAGCAGCAAAAAGAAAATAGAATTTTTAAAAATAAAGAGAGCTTGAGAAACATTTTGGACAACATGAAACATAACAACATCCACATCATGGGAATACCAGAAGGAGAAGAGAGTGAGCAAGGGATCCAGAACCTATTTGAAGAAATTATGTTGGAAAACTTCCTTAATCTGCTGAAGGAAAAAGTCACATGAGTCCAGGAAGCTCAGAGAGTCCCAAACAAATTGGATCCACAGAGGCCTACACTGGGACACATCATAATTAAAATGTCAAGGCTTAAAGACAGGGAGAGAATCCTAAAAGCCACAGGAGAAAAGCAGTTAGTTACATACAAAGAAACACCAATTAGAATGTCATCTGATTACTCAACAGAAATACTTCAAGCCGAAGTGAGTGGCATGAAATATTCAAGGTGATGAAAAGCAAGGATGTATATCCAAGGCTACTTTACCCAGAGAGGCTATCATTTAAACTTGAAGGAGAAAGAAATAAGGAGCTTCCCAGACAAGAAAAAGCTGAATGAGTCTGTTAACACCAAAACAGTACTGCAACAAATGTTGAAGGGCTGGCTTTAAGATTAAGATAAAGAAGAAAAAGAGAGGAAAACAGTCTAACAATAAAACGGCACTACACATATATCTATCAATCAATGCCTTAAATGTAAATGGCTTAAAAGCTCCAAGCAAAAGACATAGGGTGGCTGAATGAATAAGAAAAAAAGACCCATATATATGCTGCCTCCAAGAGCCCATCTCAGATCAGAAGATACATGCAACTTCCAACCAAGATGGAGGCGTAGGTAGACATACTGTGCCTCCTTGAACAACCAAAATAAGGACAACAACAATTCAGAAACAAAGTAACAACCAAAACTGAACTACATGGAAGTCTGACAACCAAGGAGTTAAAATAGACACATTCATCCAGACCAGTAAGTGGGTGGAGTCCGGCGGACAAGTGGAGAGGGGTTGCAGCACAGGAAGTGGTGACACAGGGCACGCAAGGC